GTTTAATCTTATTTTTTAATATCCAAGCATACCTTTTTAAAATAAATAGCTCACATTTATTTAAGAAGCTTGTAGACATTACTTATGATACATAAGAAGGACAAAATTCCTATAGATAACTTATATTCCTTTACATAATTTATTTTATATTAGATTTCCAACTTTATAATCACTTTGCTATGAGTGATATTAAAACATAAAATTTTTTATGTAAAAACCATAGTAACTTCATCATAACAGAGAAGGTAAAGGTGATGAAAAAGAAATGCATAAAGTACTATTATGATGAATCAATCTGATTGTATTGTATTTTCATATGCTGAGAGAAATTAAGATATATTTTTATATACAAAAGTGAAAGCTAACCTAACAAACTCACTCTTAAATGAACCAGTAGAAAGCTAACAGCATCTAACTAATATTTAGTTGACATAAACTAAGATTTTAATATACAAATAGAAAGTTGAGAACATTAATCTAAATAGGATTCTTGATACTCTCTTGCAAACTCATTGTGGAAGAAGATGTAGCAGTGAGTTTGGGCCTTAATTCCAAAAAGATTGTAACAGAAGCTGGTTTTGTTAGCAAGTCAGCAATTTAAAATCTTGAAAATGTACTTAACACAAATTTCTTCATTGACAGCCTTTTCTTTGATGAACCAGAGATCTAGCTCAAAGTGTTTGGTCTTGCTATAAGGAGAACATCACCTTGATTGTCGCACCACACTAAGGGTGCTTTGGTGATTTTGATGTGCAGTGGACTTGATATACGAAATTTCTGCAATTAAGGATGCTATGCTATGAAATGTAGCTTCAATGCTACTTCTTTACATAACCCGTTGGTTGGTTCTTAACAGTCCAAGATACTATACTAAAGCCAAGATAGACACAAAATCTTGATGTGAATTTTATATCAAAAGGGTCAGCAACCTAATTACTATTATAATAGGCTGTGATATGTAAATTTTCAAATTTCTTCAGTTGAATGCCAAAGTGGATTGTCCCTACTAAGTATCGTAGAAGTCTTTTCACAGCCTTCCAACGATCATTGAGAGGATTATGCATGTATTAACAAAGTTTATTCACAGTATAAGCAATGTTCGGCCTTGTGATAGTTGCATATTGGAGGCTGCCAACCACAAACCTATATAAAGAACTATCATTAAACAGGTCAGTGCCTTCTGCAAGAAGCCTGGGAGAAACTGCAATAGGTGTTTTGACTGCCTTTACTAAATTCATTTTTAGTTTAGTTAAGAGATTACTAATATAATTGGACTCATTGAGATGAAAACCCCATTGTGAGTCAATTTTCACTTTTATGCTAAAAAAAATAGTGTAGAGGGCCTAAGTCTTTGAGAGAAAAGGTAAGTTGTAGCTTATGAATGAGATTAGTGATGGCTTCCCTTGAGTTGCTTGTTATTAGGACATCATCTACATACACAAGAATATAAATGGTGAAAGAGGATAAAAACATGACAAATAGGGAAGTGTCACACTTAGCTGAATGAAATCCAAGAGAGTGTAGAATTGTTATTAATTAGTCTTTCAAACCATGCTCTAGGTGCTTGCTTGAGACCATAGATGACTTTCTTAAGTTTGCAAACCATATCTTTATTAGAAGCTTTAAAACTAGTTGGTTGTTTCATAAAGACTTCCTCTTTGAGTTCACCAATGAGAAAAACATTATCAAAGTCTATTTGATGAACAAGCCAGTTTCTGGACAAGATAAGTCAGTACTACCCATATAGTCACAAGTCTCACCACTGGACTAAAAGTATCAAAAATGTTTGGATGCTTTATCCTTGACTTGGGTAGCACTCTTGGTAGCATCATCAACATGATTTGTGGTTGATGTATCAACAATGCTTGATGCATTATCCTTGTATTTGATGGGAATCTTGTTAGCACCGTTAATATGATTTTTCAATTGAAACCTTTTAATGATGGAGATGACTTGTTGACACCATGTGAGGAAGTTACTAAATTTTGATGAAATAGGGTTTGTGAAAGGTTAAGAGGAAAAAGATTGAGATGAGGAAGTAATGCTTGAAAGACGAATCAAGCTCGTGCTACCATGTGAAGGTTTAGAACAGAGAAAGTAAATGTGATGAGAGAGAAATGAGTAAAGTATTATTCTAATGAATCAATCTAATTGTATTGTATTGTCACATGCTAAGAGAAATTAAGATATATATTTTATACACAAAAGTGAATGGCTAACCTAACAAACTCACTCTTAAATGAATCAACAAAAAGCTAACAACTTAACAACATCTAACTAATACTTAGCTGATACAAACTAAGATTTTAATATACAATATACAAAGTTGAGAACTTTGATCAAAATAGAATTTTTGATCAATGATATGTAATGATTCATGTAACGATAGAATAATCTAACACATCACTACTCTTAATGTGTATGAGTGTAAAGATTTGATATCTCATATTCATAATACGTGATATTTAATCATTTTCATTCATATGTTAGTCTCAATATATTATATTATCTTAATATTAATATTTACCTAAAGACATTTAAAAAATGATACTAATTAAAATCTTAGACTTAAGTCATTTATTAAATATATATATATATAAGTTATATTTTTATTTTAAAGACATCATTATATTATGTTAAAATAATAAATTTAAAATATTTTAATTTATTAAATAAATAATTGTGATGCAAAAGATATGTTATAAGATAAATCTCATTAATACATACACAAATAAAAGTAATGTATCGCAAATATTTAAATCAATTCAAACAAGCTATTTTTATTTTCCTTTTTTATACTTTTACATTTTATTTTTCATTATTTTTAAAAAATATATAAATATTTTTATAATATAAAATTATATTCTTGTTATTTTATTTTATATTTTACAACACTATAAATTAAAATGATAAATGTACATCAAGTTAATATATTTTGAATATAATGAAGTTAACTCCGACTTCATTAGAAGAAATCCATATGCACTAAAATTTAATTCATTCATATTTTATTTTTGAATTTTATTAAATAGCATCACTGAAAAGTATTTAATTTATTATTATTATTATTATTAAAAAGCTCAAAAACTTCGTTGCATAGTGTGTAAATTTATAATTAAATAAGTAAATAATTTATAAATATATTTATTTTAAGAGTTTAATTTTGATATATTATAATATAAAATTTTTATATTAATATTAATTAGAATAATATTTTATAAATATAATTTTTTTATAAATTAGTATACAAATAAATGTTTTTTATTAATATAATATATGATTAAATGATAGTTTAAATTTTTTATAAAATATTTTAAATTAATTTTTTACTTCAAAATAAATAATTATTATGATATGAAATTTTTATTCATATATATATATATATATATATATTAATAATACTATTTAATACTCAATTTAAATATTTTTAAAGTAATTATATTTTTAATATGTAAATTGGGTGTTTTATTTAAATATTTATTAAATTAGTTATATTTTAAATATTTTAAAATTATTTATAAAATATTTGTTCCTGTTAAAGAAACATTAGTTTTCAAGTTTTTGCTCCGAAACGATGACGTGTCTCTGGTAGTCGTTGACGTGGGGAGGATACCTGCAAAAGACACTGTTAAAGAAACACTGGTCTTCAGGTCCTTACCCCGAAATAATGACGTATCTCTGGTTACCTTCCTTATATAAGCACTGTAATGGACTAATGGGCCTTCTAAGTCAGTCTTGATTTTTGGCCTTTTAAATAAAATAAATAATATATTGATTATTACCTTAATTGAGTTAATTACCTTTTAATCTTGATAAAATGTATCCAGCCACTTAGATTGAATAGGTATTCGATTTTTTTTTCCTACAAATAGAACTGAGTTATTCCTTATCCAGTATAATATTTAATTTTTTTTACTTTAAAATAGTTAAATTGAATGTTAAAATATGATTTATTTGTAATTTGCTTTTATAGACACGTAATTTACAGAAAGGGTAGTAATGTACCAACACGGCGTTCGTACTTGAAGACATTTTTGGATTCACCATACCCGCATAAGGACGTTGATAAAGATACTCAACACTTTACATCAGAGTGTGAAACGACGTCAGATAAACGCCAAAAGTACGGCACCCACTACAAGGTATACAGTCAAACCAGGTCCACAAAACTCTGCACCCGTTTTCCACACGTTTGGCCAACCATTTATCTCCACGTGGCAGTGCCTCGCCTACGTGGACCCTCGCCTTCTCCAACTGGTGTCACCCTTTTTACGCCCCAAGCTGCCAACTCTCCAACGACCACCCTTGTTCATAAGAACTTTTGAATTTGGATAATTGGATTGTTCTTTAATTGAATAAAATGAGATAAAGTTTTGAATTTCATCAAATTTTGCTTTCTGGGTAATCTTATATTGTTAGGATTTTTCTAGGAGCGATATCCTATAGAAGGCTTTTGCACTAAAATTGTTTTGCATACTTAATCATTAGTTGTGTTAAGGGAAATTAAAATGTGACTAAATAATTTATAAAATGTTACAATTAGTTTTATTTTTCAGTCTCAAGATTCTTGAACATATAAAAGAATCATGTATTATTAAATATATATTTATTATATTTTATATTTTTACTTTAATAAATATTTTTATTTTAAAATTATTAAAATTCACTTTCAAACTGATATTAATGTTTCTAATTTTTATTAAAAATTATTTTACAAAATTCCGTTCTAATAATTACTCATTCCATTTCAATTTGTTTATTTTAAAATATTTTTAATTCTAAAATATAAATTATTTTCCTAAAAAATATTTTTATTTATAGGTGTTTTACTTAAATATTTAATTAATTTATGATTATACACTGATGATAAAAATGTTTACGTTACAAAAAAATCTGCCATAATACATTTAATGTTATTCTTAAAATATGTAAATTACCTAAAATGATAAATGGAATATATTATTTATTGGCTTCATTATAATGGTGGCAGAAAAAGTTGAATTTCTTTCTCCAGCCTTCATCAATTTAAGCAAAAGGTTGCTTGATGGTCTGTATCTTCTATTTTCTTTTTTCTTTTTTCTTTTTTTCACTCCTTTTAATGTTGTCTTTTGTTTAATCAACCTCTATATGACAGAGTATGTGGAATGATGGAGGAGTTGTGAGAGGGAGGATAATGATCTGAGGCAGAGATATCAATGCTATGGGGGTGTGTCTGTCAAAGAATCAAGGGTGCGTGAGAGGGAAGTTGAGCTTTTCCAAGAAGAAGAAGGGGAAAAGAAGAAATGGACATAGAAGAAGAGTGTCTTCTCAGTTGTCCAATGGATCATTGGACAAGGTTGATACTACTGGCTTGTCTGAATGTTGCTTTGCCAACCCCACTTTCCAAGGTTCATGTTTTTGTTTTTTCGTTTTTTGACTTGCATTTTCTGTGAATTGATTTTGGGATGGAAGATTTTAAATGATATTATCGAAACATGATTGGTTCTATCTTTTTTTGGAGTTTTTATTTGTCGTCTGTATTTTGTTTTGTAATTGCATTTTGCTATATGTTTTTATTTGTTCTGTAATTGGTATTTGGTTAGGAAATGTTGTTGGTGGAGGCCCTGGAGTTTATGTGTCTGCATGTATTGAAATGGTTATGCTGTTCAAAGGCTGAGATAACTGGTGATTCTTTTAACAGTTATAATCATTGAAGAATCACTACAGTAGACATAATTTAATAATTGGTGCAAATTTACGGCTTGTGCTAAGAAGTTTGCAGAAATTTTGTTTGATTTTAATTTTTGTGTGTTGAAGATGACTGAATATTTTTTACTAGAAGGCTGTAATGGGATTGGATCATATTGTTAAAATTCAAATAAAAATCGAAATGTAGTAAGTCAATTTCATTCATAAATCATAGCTGAAATAATGTCAGGCATCGGTGCTAATGCTATGGTAGAAGGCTTAGCCAAGCTAATCATTGATAGGATTAAACTAATATTTTCCTTTCTATATCAAGGGAGGTTCTGAAGTTGAATTGTTGTGCTGAAAATTATCACAGTTAGCCTTTTAGTGGAAAAGTAGTAGTGAAATTTGGAGCGGTAATAGTAATATTTCTCTGTGAATACATGTGCACAATTAGCAGGTGAATGGCATATTTTTGATAAGCCTCTACCAGTTTCAGATTTTTCTAATGTGCTTTGAGGTTTGACCGCTTAAAACTAAGCATTAGTTGCTGGAGTAGGTCCTAAACTTCACAGAAATCAAGTGTTTGCTGAATCAGAATGTTATTTTAGCACTTGTTTTTTCCTTTAAAGAAGTTTACATGTAAATTTGGGAATGAAAACTGAATTAGTTAGTTGATGTCTGTTTTGATGGATTTTACTTTGTTTCTTTGGCCCAATAAATCAATTAAAGTAGCCTTTGTTTCCCCCCTTTTCCCCCCATTTACAGATTGCTGAATCAGCTTGTTTATGTCATTTCGCTGAACTGCGCTTGTGCCAAAAACTATTTTCTGAAATTCTCATTTCTCCCCTGTTAATCTATGGCAGCAGGAACTATTGAGGAAGCATGGTTTGATTCAGTTGCAGTATTTGACTCTGATTGTGATGATGACTTCATGAGTGTTCCTGATGGTATGGTTTTGGATATTCTAAAATTTATTTTAGATGTGTTGCTTACTATCACTTAAGTACATTGTATTAGAGATCACCTTTGCCAATATATCGTTAAATAAAAATACAATTGATATATGCAGATATGATATCACTGAATGGGACTGAAGCCAAATGTGGAGTTGCAACTGATCATGTGCAGAAACGCGGGGAACTATCAAAAAGATATTCTGCACATATCTCTGAGGCTGTCAGGAGTTCAGATGCTCAAATTTTGGATGTAGATGTCATGGATTCTCAATGTAAACGTCATGGAAGTATAAGTGAAATAAATGAACCTGTTTTTCTGGATGAAATCTCCTCAGTGGATGCAAGCTCCAAAAAGGATGATGGAGTTTTGGACAAATGTGGGGTCCTTCCAAACAATTGTTTGTCATGTCTTTCATCTACCGATCAAAGATCGTCGTCATCTTCTAGTCCTTCTCATACAAGGAAGCAGGCTCATGCAAAACATTCCTTAAAATGGAGTGGGAATGCTGATCTATGTGAGCTGAAATTCTTGAAACATAATTCTTATCATTATTGGTTATTGTGACTCTCTTGTTTGATATATATTAGATTATTAATTATGATTAAGCTTTGAAGTCTTGTCTTACAACTGAAAGAAAAACTAAATTTTGTCATAAAATGTTGAGTTTGGACTTATTTGTTCAAGCTTATACTTAGGAAAGAGTACTTTTTAAATCTAGAAATTTTGATGATAGATTTTTCAAAAGGAAGCCAACTCGAGGAGAGTAGAGAAACTAATTATAAGAACATAACTATTCTTTTTTGAAGCTCATTGTGTAGCATATATGCTAATTTGATTGATAAATATTACACTACTCTAAATTCTACATTTTATGATTAGTCATGACTCCAAATGCATCCTTAATTTCTCACTACAATGCTAAAAGATGCTTTATGGTTGTGGATTATAGTTTTTTCCCGGGGAATGCATCTTATAGTGCAACAACGAATGAATTGTAATCGCTTTTTTTTCTTTTTCTCATTTTATGGTTCTCAGTTTCCTCAAAGACACTTCTACAAAGACCACTCGCTGGTTCTCAGGTACCCTTTTGTCCAATTGAGAAGAAAATGCTTGATTGTTGGTCACATATTGACCCGAGCACATTTAAAGTTCGAGGAGCCAATTATTTAAAGTAAGAATAAGATTCTGGCTATAATTTTTTGTCTAGAATACACTATATACATAAATGCCTTTATAGTTTAAATAACACAGTTAAAATTTAGATTTGCATACATATCCATAGACCAAATTATGTTTGACCGGGCTTCTTTTTTCATTAAAACAAAAATTATGGCAGGGACAAGAAGAAACAATTTGCTTCAAAGTATTCTGCATATTACCCATTTGGTGTAGATGTATTCTTATCTCCACAAAAAGTAAACCATATAGCTCAGTTTGTGCAACTTCCTGTGATTAGTTCTTCTGGGAAACTTCCACCCATACTTGTTGTAAATGTTCAGGTACTCTATTATTCTTCTAAAATATAGTTATCTTTTCACCATTCTTTTGAGAATAGTTCTATCACTAACAGTGGACTCCAACCTACATTCTAATCCTTATCTATCTATGTACCTTTGTCTGACCCTAGCAATTGAGAACAGAAAAGTTATAAAGCTTTTCTAGGTTTATATACATATTGTCATGTGGAAAATTTGAAGTTATGTTTTTTTTTTAGTATGCTCTAATGTTTTGGGGTTTATATTCTTAATCTTATATTCTTATTTTGTGGATTTCAGATTCCTCTTTACCCTGCCACATTTTTTCAAGGTGAAACTGATGGAGAAGGAATGAGTTTTGTGTTGTACTTCAAACTTTCTGAAAGTTACTCCAGTGAACTTCCACTGAATTTTCAAGAAAATATAAGAGTAAGATGGACCCTTAATGAAGTTTGCTTATCACCTTATCACCTAATATCACAATGTAAATGCTGTCTATTTGTGTGTTCATTAATTGCTGTGTTTCTTATGCCTTTGTACAGAGATTGATGGATGATGAAGTTGAAAAGGTAAAGGGTTTCCTCGGAGATACAACTGTACCCTTCAGAGAAAGGTTGAAAATATTGGGGCGGGTTGTGAATCCAGAAGATCTTCATTTGAGTGCAACAGAAGGGAAGCTTATGCAGACTTACAATGAGAAACCTCTTCTTTCACGTCCACAACATGAGTTTTACTCAGTAAGTTTCAATGCTATTTTAACTCGGTTTTGAAAATCAGACCGAACTAGTCGGTTCACTCCCTCTAACTATTGATCATATTTAAGTTGTCACTTTTTCTTTGACCAAATTATTGTCAATTTAGTTATATTAATAATATGATATATAAAATTAATATTTGTTAGTTAATTTAGGTAGTATTGTTATTATTTTACAATCCAACATGTTTTCATGAAACTCTTAATTTAATCTTTATTATTTTTATAAATTTATTTTTTATTATATAGATATTACTAGTTAGACCACGGTTAAACCAATAAATTACAAACCAATACCTTTATTGGTTCAATGACTGCTTCAATTTTATACACATTGCTTTCTATGATGGCTTCTTTCAATAGACTAACTATACTGAGAATGAGTAATACTTAAAATTGATCAATAATGGTTTCTTTCAATAGACCTATACTTGTTCTCATATTTCCATTAACTCACATAATCTCTTATGATACCATCTTTAGTATCTCAAGCGAATGCTTTCTGTTGTTTTAATGATAAAATGGTCTCATGATCCTGTGTGTGTCCATATCCATGTCATTCTGTTATTTGTTATGACATTTAGTGATGTCAGCGTAATCATCTAGTTAATTCTCAAATCAATCTTCAACCAAGAAACATTGTATATTTTGGTTGCTTCTTGTACCTTTATCTGCGGCCCGCAATTTATGTCGGTGTCATTTCATTTAAAGGCGTTATATCCACATGCATTGCTTTATTTTTTTTCTAATCCTTTTGAATATACTAACCAATGTGATTCTCTTTCAGGGAGAAAATTACTTTGAGATTGATTTGGACATGCATAGATTCAGTTATATTTCTAGGAAAGGTTTTGATGTCTTCTTGGATAGATTAAAGATCTGCATTCTAGATTTTGGTCTCACTATTCAGGTAAGTAGTTTTTATAGTCAAAATCAAATGTATTTTCTGCTTTCTATTGAATCAATTTTCTAATATTTGGATCATAATTCAGGGGAACAAAGCAGAGGAGCTGCCAGAGCAGGTTTTATGTTGTATTAGGCTAAACGGCATTGATTACATGAATTACCAGCAACTGGAGATAACTGAGGATCCCCTCTAATTTACTTGCAAAAACATTTCTTATCATAGTTTTAGGATCATTGATGGTCATTTCAAGATGGGTTTCAGCATCATTATTTTTTTGTTGGTACATGAATGATGGGAAACAAGCTTGTGATTATAGGAATGGATGGCATGCTTTTGAAAGGGGACAGGCAAGGTCCGAGGAAAGGTCACTGGCACAAGAATTCAAATTTAGACCTACTTAGGTCTACTTAAAGAAATAACGGATAAGAGGTCCGTAAGCTCCATACATGCAATTACTCTCTTTTTCAAACAAATTTTATTTCAAAAGAGACGTTTAGAAGAGTTTATGCCCATGAAAATAATTTACAATTTTTATATTTTTTAAACTTATTTTAATTTTGTTATATAACTTATAAAAATATGCTTTTTTTAAACTTATTTTTAATGTTCTACAATCAAATTTGTGTCATAAGTTTTCATCTGATAAACTTACTTGATTAAGTTATTAATCCTTGCACTTTAAGCATAAATTTTAAGCGTGGGTTCTGATAAAGAAAAAAACTTCTTTTTTTGTTCCTTGGGTGCGAGCACAGAGGTGATTCAACAACTACTATAATTTATAAGTGAATTTTGCCACGTTACCAATTAAAGAGAGTTTCAGGGTTTTAAATATTTGAATGATCAACTCACTAAGCTGTTAGGAAATTTAGGATACCTTTTATACTTGGCTTCTAAGTGTTGTGCATAACAATTTTTTTTAATGTTTTTGTGAATGTGAGATAGCTCTGTTCAATATACTGGAAATTGGGATTCTATATTCTTTTTTCAATCCGAAACATGAAGTTAAAGTGGAATGAGCCCGCAGATATTAATCATTTGTGAATAGTTTATATATGTATGGATGATTGGATAATTAATTTAGTTATTATATTTATTTAATTGTTATCAAGGTTTGTATGTATCATTTATCTAATTTTAATTTTTAAGAATTGTATTTTAAACAAATGAAAATAATTATTTTAAAAGAAGTATATCATTTTTGTGATAAGAGATTTTATTTTTAATCTTAAGGTATTTTTATGTTGATTAAATTATATTTTATTACTACTTTACTTAACTTTTTAGCATATAAATATCTATTAAATATTAAATTAAGATAAAAGAAACTAATAAATTAAGCTTAAGTTTTAAAATTTTTAATTGAGTTATTATTTTAAATCTGACTCGTTTAAAGAAATGAGTTAAACTTGAGCATTCTTTATATATATATAAAACTTAAGTTTGAAGTTTAGATATTTTATTTATACTAACTCATTATTTATTTGGTTTTACATCTAAACACCAAATATTTTAGATTGATAGCCATAATAATTTAAGTAGTTAAATTTGACAATTATCAAAGTTATAATTACTTATAGAGTTTCCACGTAATCCTGTATTAATATAAACTCTAAGGAAAGACAATCAAAGGTCTGATCTCTAGACTTTTTCCCTCAAGACGATTATTAGATGAATTCAATTTTTTTTAACTTTATCAACTTGAAAAAATCATTGAGAATGTTATCCATTAAAGTGGTTTTCTTGTAATTTCAATCTCTCCAATGAAGAAAAATTTGCCGACACCTCTAGTAAGTTGGAAACTAATTCATTGAACCTCAAATCCAAACTCTAAATTGAATCTAACATCATATGCTACACCAATTTCCTCAATCCCAATAGAGATGTTATAAAAAAAATATAAGTTTTTAGTGATGTTGCACTTATAATAGTTAGTTATAGCTTCTACCAATGTTGCCCTTCTAATAGTTAGTTATGGTAAAAGTCAGCCCATTGATCAACTAGAAATTGAATCTGTGTATGCAGCAACTAGTTCATCATAACCTTTACCAAATCTTGTTAGAAAATGAAAAGTTAATGCTAGTAATACATGTAAATTATCCTTTACATAGGATCATTTTATCAAATTTCTAATAGTAGAGGAAAAAGATCTTTAAGTTGCTTGCAAATATTGCAATATATCAAACTCAAACCAGTTATATTACAAATAAAAATATTTTAACGATTTGCAATATAGTTGTGTGATCTTCCTTCACCTTCTATATTGTTTATCATAGTATATATGTATAATTGCGTTATATTGTATTCTAAATATAGTAATCTTATCAAAATAATTTTAATCTTAAAATAAACTTTCTTTTACTAAATTTAATTTTAATCAACCAACTTCAAAATATTTATGATAAAATTACGTGACTTTGAGTTCCCTATTGTACTTGAGAATACACAGGAACGGGAATTAAACTTGTGTCAAAATACTTTTCAAAATAAATTTTGTCTTTACTAAGATACCAATCAATATTTCAATAAATAAATTTTTTTATTTTAAAAAATAAAATAGTAACACTTATTGTTTTGGGGTTAAATAAATATTTTTTAAAAATTAAAATAAATTTACACAATTAATTTAAGATAACATTATTTAAATGGATGTGGTAGAATGTTAATACATTCCCTACACATAAACGACTCTCAAACTCATTTTTCATTTCAAAGATCATAACGTTCTAAAAGTTTTTCTAAAGTTTTTTCTTTAATAAACTTTGGTAGTGATTCATTTGATTTTTTTAGAAAAGTATTTTTTATTTTTTATTTTTTATTTTTTTTTCTTAACACGTTTTTACCGTACCGTTACTACCGTCCAGTTGTGACGTAGAAATTTAGGCATTTTTATAAGTAATTGCAACAATAATTTAGTGTCCCTTCAAGAAATACAATAATAATAGATTGTTTTGAATTATACAAAGATAAGAAGGTAAAGTTAAAAGATTTTTTAAAGTCAAACAGTATTAAGGTTGCACTAACTACTGATTGTTAGACATATGTGCAAAACCTAAACTACTTATTTCTAAGAGTTCACTATATTGACAATGATTGGAAGTACCATAAGAGGGAAATAAGTTTTCTGTAGTGAAAAATCATAAGAATGAGACATCAGGGAAACATGTAGAAGAAGTTTTACGAAACTGGACACTTAGGAATGTCTCCATAATTACTATTGATAATATTTCAGCAAATGATGTTTACATACTTAAAAAATAGGTCGAATAATATAATTTGACTAGTTTTAGATGGAAAAAATTTTCATATGAGGTGTTATGCTCATATATTAAATTTGATGGTAAATGATGACCTAAAGATCTTAATACCTTAATTTCTAACACATGCAATGTTGTTAAATTTGTTAGGTCATTCTCTCAAAGATTGTGCAATTTTAAGGATTCTATGGAGTTGACCAAAATTTAGAGCAAAAAACTAGTATGCCTAGATGTTCCTAATAAGTGGAAGTCTACATACACTATGTTGGACAATGTAGAAAAGTTTGAAGCTGCTTTTAAGTGACTCAAGTTTGAGGACTCCCTTTTTTTGGACTATTTTGGATCAATTAAAGCACCTACATGCATTGAATAGGCAATTTCTAGAGTGTTTGTCAAAATTGTGAAAATATTTTATGAAGTTATAAAAGATTTTTTTCACTCTCTAACTATATTAGTATACATGTAGCATTTCATTAATTAATCTTAATTTATTATAAAATTAGCTTTACAATTATAAACATGGACCCCATCCTTAGTTGTATGAGCTTGGATATGAAAAATAAATATATGACAAATATTGGAACAACTTTCTCCAAATCATCACTTGTTATATTTTGACGTTATATTTGATCCTCGATATAAAGTAAAATATGTGGAATGGTCTTTATGATGACATACATCTAGATAATTACTATCTTTCTCTTAAAGTAGCAACAAGTGTGAAAATAAACCTATCAAAAATATATAATTAGTATTCCACATCATATGAAAAAAATAAGATATCCAAAATTGGTAGAAAAATTGGATAGATCAAATCATGTATATTTTAGTTACTCCATTGCATTAAAATTTTACACAGATTATTTGCATTGAAAATTTGTACAAATTACAATACACTGAAATTTAAATAAGTTATAAACATGGAAATGGAAAATGTCATTTACACATTATTCCATAGTTCAACATTTTATAAATTTGATTTTAAACATAAGCTTCACATTTTTTTTCAACTATTAAAAGCTAAAGACAAGTTGGACAACATTTTAAGTATATATTGAAAATATTTTTTATTTAATCTTTTCTACAAAATTTATATAAAAATTAGTTGGAGTTCAAATTTTGGTTTGACCCAAAAAGGGGCTAATTACTTTAACTTTTGAGTTGAACTTATTTTGGTTTCTAACATTGCAGCTCCACTCTTCTCGCTCGATCGACTTCGTACCAAAGCTTACAGTTAAGTTGCTAAGTCTTCTCTTACAGAACACACACTACGGGAAAAATGAAGCTAGAAGCTATAGGATTTTAGTATTTTTTTTTTTTTTTGATAGGCAAAACATATTGATAGGATATAATATATTTGATTGCAATTTACCTTATTTAGCTTGTGCATAATTGATTTAGTCTTGTAGAATTGATCTATTCTCTCCTTGATTGTAGGATCTAAATACTTTGTATAGCCTATATATTGTACGCTTGTTATTCTTTCCAAATCAATGAAACACATTTGCACCAATCCTTACATGGTATCAGCCTAATTTCGATCCTTCATCACCCTTCCTTCTTTTCTTTTCTTCCCCATGGCTAATACTGCTCTTTCCTCTAATGGTGTTCTTTCATTCAACACCATGATCCACATGCTAAACATACGCCTCACCTCAACCAATTTCATTATCTGGCGTCGTCAGCTCCTTCCTCTTCTCGAAGGACAAGCCCTCTATGGCCATATCGATGGCTCAGTCACAACTCCTCCTGCAACATTGCCGATAGCTGATGGATCTTTGACGACTGCTAATCCAGCCTTTACCACTTGGAAGCAACAAGATCAAAGACTTGTAAGTCTTCTTCATGCCTCTCTCATTGAAGAAACTCTAGCTGAGGTTCTGCATTGTGACATCGCAAAGCAGATCTGGACCACTCTTGAATCCCTTTACAGTGGTGA